TCCGGCTCACACATTTTTGTCTTTGCTCAGGAAGGATGGCTCCAGAGCAAATTAATTTATGCAGTAGCCAAATTGCTCGCTCACAACTTTAATGCCAGTAGCTCACAAAGTAGAATTTTTGCTCACAAGACTCCACAGCTTAGAGGGAACATTGGTTACAGTCTGACATAAGGCAGTCACCCCAGACTAGGGTTGCCAACTCTGGGTGGGAAAATACCTGGAGACTTTGAGGGTGGAGCTTGAGGAGGGTGGGGTTTGGGGAGGGGAGGGGCCTCAGGAGTGCACCGTGCCAGAGAGTCTGCCCTCCAAAGTGACCGTTTTCTCCAAGGGAACTGATCTCTGTCATCTTGAGATCAACTGTAATAGCAGGAGATCCCCGGGCCCAACCTGGAGGTTGGCAACCCTGTGCCCAGACCCAGCCGAGGTCCCCTAGAGTGTGTGAATCGGTGACCCTGTACACCCTTGCAGGCCTTGCGGTCCATCGCTTGCAGCCCAGAATGTTACAGAGAGGACTGCCAAGTGTTCCCTCTAAGCTGTGGAGTCTTGTGAGCAAAAATTCTACTTTGTGAGCTACTGGCATTAAAGTGGTGAGCGAGCGATTTGGCTGCTGCATAAATGAGTTTGCTCTGGAGCCATCCTTCCTGACAAAAAATGTGTGAGCCAGAGGCTAAAAAACTGTGAGCTAGCTCACACTAACTCAGCTTAGAGGGAACACTGCTGCCAACCTCCGGGAGGGGTCTGAAGGTCCCAAAATGACAGTGGGTGTTTCCCAGACTACAGAGGTCAGTTTCCCCTGGAGAAAGCAGCTGCTTTGGAGGGTGGGCTCTGTAGCATTGCACCCTGCTGAGGCCCCTCTCCTCCTCAGTGTTCGCCCTGCCCAAGCTCCAAATCTCCAGGAATATCCCAAACCAGCAGGGCTGCCAAGTCCCTGGTTGGGGTGGAGGATTCCCCCACCCTGAGTTGGAGCAGCAGCGGGGGGAGGGGGGGATTAAAATAAAAGAATAAAAGCTCACCAGCGTCGCCCACAGAATGATGTGACTTACAGGGAATACCCAGAAGCAACAGCAGTGAGGCTGCGATCACACGTGCCAGTAGATCCGACATAAGCGCGAATGCCTGACGGATCTAAAGGCCGCGATCAGACAGCAACATCTGGGAAGCGATCCGCAGTCGTCAGCAACCCCTGCTGCTCCGCTGCAAAAGCTGAGTAAAAAGACACTGGAGAAAATCCGGTAGTAAACGGGTTGCGACAGGCCACAGACGGACTTTCCCCTGTCTGATCAAGCAAACACACACTCATGCCGTCGGCAATGTTCCCTCTAAGCTGTGGAGTCTTGTGAGCAAAAATTCTACCTTGTGAGCAACTGGCATTAAAGTTGCAAGCCAGCAATTTGGCTGTTGCATAACTTAGGCCCTGTCCACGCCACCCCTTCCTGAGCTAAGACAAAAATGTGTGAGCCAGAGGCTAAAAAACTGTGAGCTAGCTCACACTAACTCAGCTTAGAGGGAACACTGGTTTCCACCCTCATTCGTTTTGTTTTTGCAAGACAATGACTGTGGAGGGAAAACCAGCATGGCTTCTGCATAGGGAAATCCTGTTTCACCAACCTTTTGAAGTTCTTTGAGAAAGTGAACAAATATGTAGATAATGGTGACCCAGTAGACACGACCTACCTGGACATTCAAAAGTCTTTTAACAAGATAACCTCACCAAAGACTCCTGTGTAGGGTTGTCAACCTCCAGAGATCAGTGGCCCCAGCCGAACTGCGCATGCTCGAGCATGCGCAGTTCGGCAGCCTCCCCCTCCCACTCGTCTCTTCCTCCCCGGCATCTGATCGTGCCGGGGAGCAACGGCACGCGGCTCACGGGATCCGTGGGATCCCGCCCGCAGCGTCTCTAATTTGGTGCTGCTCTCTTTAGCTGCGCTTTCACCGGAGTTTTCCCTGCCGTGTGGCAGGGGCCTTAGTTTCCTCTGGAGCCATCCTTCCTGAGCGAAGACAAAAACGTGTGAGCCAGAGGCTAAAAAACTGTGAGCTAGCTCACACTAACTCAGCTTAGAGGGAACACTGGCCGTCGGGATGGTCTGATCCGGCCGTCCCTGCTCGGGGCCGTCCCCCTCCCTCTTCGCAGTATGCACATCTTCGCACACCCATAAGGGGCCCTCAGGGCAGAGGTGCGATTCCTCGTTTATGCGCATGGGAAACGAACGGCCAAAAAAAACCCCGACTCACCTGCAGTTGTGTCTGATCACACAGTGACGGGCTGCACCCGCTGCTACAAAGGGCTGTGTGATCTCTCAACGGCAGGTCGAATCCCTCCAGAGGGAATAGCCTCGCTTCCCCCCTGCTTCATCTGGCGCGTGCGACTGCAACCTAACTCTAGGAACAGCCACAGAAATGCTATGGTTTACCATAGGGTTTCCAACGATTCCTAGAGCTACCGCTCTCGCTTCCACGTATTCCCCAGAAGCAACATCATCACACTGGCAGCAATGGCAATGCTGTCCCACACCATGCCCCCCCCACACACTGGTTGCCCGACTTGGCCTGGGCACCGTACAAAGGGTCCAGACCACTAGAGCCTGCCAGTTCTACCAAGAGGGATGCTTTGGGAAGGTGAGGCCCATGTGCAACTCCTGTGGCCAGCGTCCCGTTTCTCTTCCTCTCAGATCTACATTCAGACTACGACGCTCACCGTCTCCATGAGCCTGAGCGCCTCCGTGTCCCTCGGCATGCTCTACGTGCCCAAGGTGTACATCATCCTCTTCCACCCGGAGCAGAACGTACAGAAACGCAAGCGCAGTTTCAAGGCAGCAGCCACAGCAGTCAACGCCTCCACGCGGCTCTCGCAGAAGGGCGCCCAGAACGGGGAGAGCAAAGACGAAAAGCCGGACAGTAAGTAGCCAGAAAGTAGGTATCGATGCCTTTTTTACTCTTTGGTGACCCCACCCGACGTGCCTCTGACTGACCTCAGCCCACCCTGTAAGTACCACCCCTCCCATCCTCCTACCTGGCCCCCAGGCTACCCCCATGATCTTTCCCTGTGCCACTGTGCCTTCGATCACGTTGATATTTATGCAACCAACCCACTGAATACAGCTTAGACAGTTCCCCTTTGAACCACATAATTAGTTGTGTCCACACATCACCTGAATTTCAGTGTAAACATGAGAGCCAGTTTGGTGTAGTCATTAAGAGCGCATATTCTAATCTGGGAGAACCGAGTTTGATTCCCCACGCCTCCACATGCAGCAGCTGGTGTGACCTTGGGTCAGGCACAAGTTCTCTTGAAAGAGCTCTCTCAGCCTCACCTACCTCACAGGATGTCTTTTGTGGGGAGGGGAAGGGAAAGGAAATTGTAAGCTGCTCTGAGACTCTGAGTGAATGGCAGAGTATAAATCGAATCTCCTCCTCCTCCTCTTCTTCTCTTCTCTTCCTCCTCTTCTTCTTCTCCTCCTCCTCCTCTTCTCCTCCTCCTCCTCCACTTCTTCTTCATTTTAGAACATTAATAAACAAAAGTCCCAACTCTACGTTAGAAGGAAAACATGTTGGTCATACTTTTGGTCCATTCTTCAGGAAAGAAAGAAAGAAAGAAAGAAAGAAAGAAAGAAAGAAAGAAAGAAAGAAAGAAAGAAAGAAAGAAAGAAAGAAAGAAAGAAAGAAAGAAAGAAACCAGAGTTTCCTAGCGCAGTCACACTAATTAAAATTGCTCTAGTAGACTGCAAATTGATTGACTTAAACTTAAGCTTTAGTTGATTAATCTCTAAGTCAAGCAATTAAAGCTTGCAGCTTTAACAGAAAGCTGTGTCCTGAGAATGGGATAAGTGCCCCACAGAGCTCGGGCGTTTCTATTCAGAAGGCCTCCTGTTCTTTACCCAGATAGAAAGACACAGACATTGGGTTCTCAACCTCCAAATGGGGCCAGGAGATTTCCTGGAATGACAACCGATCTCTAGACTTCAGAGATCAGTTCCCCTGGAGGAAATGGCAGCTTCAGATAGTAGACTCTATGGTGTACCATAGAGGTCACATCCATGTTGTGCAGCCTCCTCAAACTCCACCCTTCCTAGGCACGGCCCCCAAATCTCCAGGTACCACCTGCAGGTTGGCAACCTTAGAGAGCAAGCAAGCTCTAGATTATGGTTGTGGAGTCCTTCCTTGCAAAAGACAGGCCTGGGGTTCCCAACTCTGGCTTGGGAAATTCCCAAAGATTTGGGGGTGGGGTACCGGGATGTTTGGTTAATGCAGCAGAGTTTGCCCGGTCACAGAAGCATGAGACTGAGTGCAGGAAATAAATTTTGCAAGAAGTATATTGCAAAAAAAGGTGAAATTACATTTACTCAAGCAGATTGAGTTAACATTCAGGCTGCAGTCAAAAGAAGAGAAAGAAACCTAATCTAAAAAGTAGTTTTAAATGGCCAATTTATCTGGCATCATGTGTGTGGGAGTATGAGGGGATTGTATCTATAGGAGAAAGTTGATCTCCATGGAAGGCCATGTAGAGGAAGGGAGAGGACAAAGTGAGCAAGAGAGAAGGGGTCAGAGGGCAGCTCCCAGGTTAAAACAGGCATCCCGTTCAAGGAGATAATACCTATAAACACTTCGAGTGATGCAGCACCCCACAACGTCCAGGCATGCTGAGTCGCTCAGTCCTGTTAAGCAAATTCCAAATGTCTTTTGTTCTTGCCAGCAGGCGATGAAGCAAGGGAAACACAATCAAATAAGAAAAATTTCTTTTAACTTTAAAATTCACTCTGGGCCCATAACACTATTGGGATTTTTGGTTAATGGAGCAGCGTTGGCACAGTCATAGAAGCGTGATGCTGAGCACACTAAATAATTCTCCCTAGAAGTATATTGCAAAAAAGGTAAACTTACATTTAATCAAGTAGATCCAGTTCACATTCAAGTTGTAGTCGAAAGGAAAGAGAGAAGCCTGATCTAAAGAGTACTTTCCCTGTCACAAATGGCCACCTTGTCTGGCATCGTGTGTGTGGGAATATGAGTACATTGTTTCTACAAGAGAGTCCTACAGAGTATGGTTGTGCAAAAAAAAAAAGTCGGTATTTTTCGGCTTCGGGTATATCAGATCCGAAAAATATAAGTAAATGCCGAATATCCCCAGTCCAATACCAGTAAAGTATCAGGACTGGGAAAATATTCAGTATTGCCGAATATATATTCGGGTCCGATATACCCGACAGGAGGGAAGGGAGGCATGTAGAAATGCTTTCTTTCCCTCTGGAAGCCCATTCAGCTTTTCTTGTCAATTCCACTCCCCACCAGTCAGCTGTTAGGTTTAAGCCACTTAAACCTAACATCAGACCAGCCAGGGGAGTGAAACTGACAAGGGGAAGCCTCCTCTCTCTGCCTTCCCTTCTCTAACTGACCCCAGGTAGCTGGAGAAGGAAAGGCAAGGAACTATGGCGGGAGGGCTGGGAAACCCAAGGGCAGGCACATGCCTCCTTCCCTCCCTGAACCTCCCTGCTGCTGCAGAGAGGCTCAAGAAGGGAGGAAGAAAAAATGAAGAAGGCAGGTTCAAATGCTACGGAGTCCCTGGAGAAGGGCAGGCAGGGAACCCAGACATGTTTAAATGCCTTTCTTTCCCTCCCCGAGATCGGCAGAGATAAATGCCTTTCTTTCCCTCCCCAAGATTGACAGAGAAGAGAGGAGGCTTTCCCTGGTCAGTTTCACTTGCACAGCTGACTGGCGGGGAGTGAAATAGACTAGGGAAGCCACAGCCAAGGGAAGTCGGTATTCGGCTACCCGAAAGCCGAAAAAGCCAAATAAATTCAGGAAACTGTATTCGGTAGGCAAAAAGTTTCCTGAATTTGCATCCGGCTTTAGAAATACAGATAAATACCGATAAGGTACTTGTTTGGTATTTTTTCCAGTTTGGGAAAGCCAAATGGGCATCCCTACTGCAGAGATATGTGTCTCCATGGAAGGCCAGGTAAAATGAGAAAGAGGACAAAGTGAGAGAGAGGAGGGGTCAGAGGGCAGCTCCCAGGTTAAGACGAAGAGAGGGATCCCATTCAAGGAGATAACACATCTACAGACTTAGAGTGATGTAGTGCCCCCCCCATTTCTAGGCATGTTGAGTCATTCACTCCAACAGGTCAGCAAGAATTTGATGCCTCAATAGTATTTCCATTTCTCCTAGACTCTATGGGATACCATAGAGCCTGAAACTTTCATTTTCTCCTGGAGAATGAATCTCTGTAGTCTGGACAGCAATTGTAATCCCAGGAGAACTCCAGGTGCTGCCTGGAGACTGGCAAGCCCAGACAGGCTGGAAGATCTCCATCTCTCAGGCAGGCTTTCCACTCCGGGTCCCAGCGTGCCCCATTCCTCCATCGGCCCACCAATCTCTTAATACCTCTCATTTTGTGTCCTTTGCAGGCCTCCAGAAAGTGACCTACATCAGCTACACAGAACTAACCATGGTGCCCACATGACTGAAGACGAGGAGGGGCACATCCTTTGGCGGGAGAGGGGAGAGGGGGGGGGGGGGTGGGAGGAGACTTGTTGAGGGGGGAACTCAGGGGAAGGGGATGGGATGGGCAGGGGTTGGGGAATAAACCTGTATTTTTACAACCCTGCCTTGGTGTCTTCAATCCCTCTGGTGAGAAGTATTGCAGCTAACTGGTGTGATCAGTCCAGTCGCCATTAGTTAGCAGAGTGCTTCAATAAAGCTACAAACGCAGCAACGTCACTCCACCAGGTTACTCAGCTTACAGAGCTACACAGAGCCACGTTGCAAGTTTAAAAGAGAAATACTCCTCTCTTTATTTGAGAAGTACCCTTTGGACAGGGAAGAGTAGGGACATGATAGATTACTAACTTACTAGCTAAAGGATGGAGGCAGATGGCGAGAGGCCCATCTGCCTCATGGTGCCAAGAGAGGACCGCATGCCTCTCTCTTGGTGTGCGCAGGAAGAGAGCTTGTCTTCATCAGAGTGAGAGACAAGAAGGAAGGGGAAGTCAGGGATCATTTCCAGCAGTAAAGAGCCCAGGGAGCAGGCACATGCAACAAGCCCCACCCCCTGCTCCCAGCAGCCCTCAGTCAAAGCAAGAAGCAGCCAGATAAGATGCAGAGCTCCCCCCAGCCCCCTGGTCCAAAACAGTCCAGTGGCACCTTTAAGACCAAGTTTTATTCAGGTACAAGCTCTCCCTCCTCTGTGAGGACAGATCTGCATGTCCCCCCCCCAATAGCTAGCAATCCAAAACAGTCCAGTGGAGCCTGAGCGGTGGGTGTTGCCTTCTGACACACTTCCGGCGATGTCAGGGGGTGTGGCATATGCAAATAAGTTATGCTAATGAGCTCCTGCACCTCTTTTTCTACGAAATGACCCCTGGGGGAAGTGATCCCTGAGAACACAGTCTGCATTTCAAAGGGGACAGTGGCAGAAGCGTCAACACAGGAAGGAAAGGTCAGTGTGCCTGTCTAGCTAGCTAGTCTCTCTCGCCACGAAGTCCGGAGGCTGAGGCAGGGGACATCACGTCTGGAACTTCCAAGAAGAAGGCTTGGAGTTGGGGTGCCAGCTCTGGATTGGAAAACATATGGAGATTTTGGGCGTGGAGCCTGAGGGTGGTGGGGTTTGTGGAGGGGAGGGTCCTCAGCGGGGTACAGTGCCATAGAGTCCACCCACCAAAGCAGCCATTTCCTCAAGGGGAACTGATCTTGGTTGTCTAGAGATCAATTGTAATTGCAGGAGGTCTTCGGGTGCTGCCTGGAGGTTGGCAATCCTACTCAGGGTGTTCAAGTCTCCCTGCTATTCTGAAATGGGAGTCAACCAGCAGCACATTTCTACAGCTGTAAAGGGCTTTATATGTAGGTGTGAAAGAACCAAAGCAAAGAGGAGTAGTCAACTCCCTACTGCACTGGTAGAAAGTATAACAGGGTATAAAGAAGTGCTTTACTGCTCGAGTAAATGCCTGAAGCTGCTGTGCAAAGCGTCCCTTGGTCTATCAAAGACAGTTCTGTCGCCTCAGAGTGGTGGCCCAGAGTCCCAGGCACAGGTCTTTCACATCATCTGCTGCCAGATCCTTTTAACTGGATACAGCCAGGTATCGAACCTGAGACCTTCTTCACGCCAAGCAGACTTTCTACCACTGAACCATGGCCCTTACCCCGAAAAAGAGGGAGATCCATCCGACGTGCAGAGATGAGTCTACGACTCTGCCCACGTGACCCAGAAGTGATGTAATCACATCCAGGCCGTCGGGGCGACGCTCTGGTACTTGGGCAAAAACTCTATGGTAGAAGGCAAATGTACCATAGAGTCTTTGTCCAAATACCAGAATGTTACCACGACGTTATGACGCCACTTACGGGTCACGTGGGCAGTGATGTAGGCACATCCCTGCACATTGGCAGAGCCTCCCTCCTGCTCTCAGTAAGTCCCCCCCCCCAATCCCCTGCTGGTTGCTAGGAGGGCCCTGGTAGGGTTGCCAAGTCGCTCAGACTCACCAGCAGGGGAGCATCGCTGGGGTCCGGGAGCTGCCGACGGACACGCGTGCATGCAAAGCGCACGTGCGCTGCCAGAACATCACAGAAAGTGACGCACTATGTAGAGCATGTTGGGGGCATGGCCCAAATAATTGGAGGGAAAACCATAGATTGGGGCCACGCCCCTAACGTGATCTACGTGGTTGCGTCCCTTTCTGTGACGCAGCCACGCTGCGCTTCGGGGGGCGGGGTTCCCCCCGGGGCCAGATTCCATGGCTGCGGAAATCAGGCCTCCAAAGTGGGGGGTTACCCGCCACCCGCCCCCACTTGGCAGCCCTAGGCCCTGGCAACCCTACACTTCAAAAATGCTTTAAGCCTGGAACCACTTACAGGGTAACTATTCACCGCTAAAAGAAAAATGCCTTCAGCATTTTCTTTTTCATTCCCTCTGAGTGTAGCACACAGACACACACACACAAAACTCTCAGCCGTAGAGGGGGAAGGAGAAGGCATGAGTTGAGAAAGAGCTGCTTACTAACTAGCCTAGTGTTGCCAACTGACTGGAACAAAGCCAGCTCTTGACGCCTTTAGCAGCAGTACGGTATGCAGAGATCAGCTCGCAGTGCTTTCCCCAAAGCACCGAGATGAGCGCTCACGGCTCGTCGACCTCTTGATAGCTCTGCCCTCCGCGGATTGTTTTAAAATGCCGAACAGTCGTAACGAAAGGCTGCCTGCGTCTGCCCTGTTTTCCCAGATTCGTTAAAAAGAAGTGATATCTATATTGAACATTGGGACGGGTCAGAAGTGAAATCCTCGTTTGAGTATTCGGGAAGCCGTAAACACACAGGTATGAGGATTCTCCCCTCTTTCCCCTCCCTCCAGCGCTCGCGTTAGGTCTAAAACAGGGAAGGGTGTTCTAAAAAGGAAATAGCCATTGCGGACGCGTACAAAAGGAAGGTTTAAAGAACAAGATGTAAAAAGACCCCCGGGGGAACATGAAAGCGGCTACGGAAGATGCGAGAGAGAGAAAAAGCTCAAACATTAATGTGATGGACATGTTCCAGGAGGCAAGTGACGTAAAATTCTGTTAAAAGCCAGTGTATCAAGAGGCCTCTCGTGGGCTGAAAAACAAGCTATATCCCACGAAGAAGATGATGATGATGATGTTTCTGGATAACTCTGGCCAACTCTAAGTCGGTCCCTTCCCGCATAACATTGGGGCTCCAACAGGGAACCGTTGAATTCCTCAGCAACAGCACAATTCAAATTCTTGTCATTAAAAAGCTCCCAGGAGCTTGGAGGAAAGAAATTTGCTTTTTACTCGCTTATACACAGCATGAATACTCACAGATTGTGTTGTGCGCGTTTATCTACTTACACAACGGGGGTGAACCACACGGTCATGCCTGTGCGTTGGCGTCACGCAAAGAGCTGCAAAACTCAAGCGACTCAGAGATTGGACGGCCAGAGAGGGAGGCACTCGTGGTTCATTGCCTGGAGTACCCTTCGGCCTAGACTTCTTCTCACCCACCAACCAGGTGTCCTCCCTGACCACAGGATCTCTCTCTCTGGCTGTTTGGTGTAGTGGTTGAGTACGCGGACTCTAATCTGGGAGAACCCGGTTTGATTCCCCACTCCACCACTCGTAGCTGCTTGGGCAAGCCATAGTTCTGACAAGAGCTGTCCTTGAAAGAGCTCTCTCAGCCCCACCTACCTCACAGGGTGTCTGTTGTGGGGAGGGAAAGGAATTTGTAAGCCGCTCTGAGACTCCCCAAGTGAAGGGCGGGGTATAAATCCAATCTCTTCCTCCTTCTTCTTCAGCTGAGACGCCTCCCTCATGTCCTCTGGCTTACCTGTCCTGCAGGGCCATCTTGTGAAGCTTCTCACTTAGACCCTTGGTCCCTCCTTTTCAAATATAAGCTACTCCTCAAGGCCTCTTAGAAGCCTGCCCCTGCTCGTTCCACCAGTGTGGAGCTGCCACCGAGAAGGCCCTGGCCCTTGTCACAGCCAGCCTGGCTACTCTAGGGCCCGGCAGGGTCAAGCGGTTTTGGGACCCCAATCATAGGGCTCTCTGGAGAACGTGTGGGGAAAGGCACTCCATTAGGTAGGTAGAACCCTGAACATATAGGACTTTAAAGGGAAGAATCAGCACCTTGAAGTGAATCCGGTATGCTATAGGCAGCCAGTGCAGTGCTTTCAGCACAGGTCAGATGTGTTCCCGCATAGGGAGGCCCAACAGCAGCCTTGCCTCCGCATTCTGCACCAGGTGCAGCTTCCCGATTTGGGACAAGGGCAGCCCCATATAGAGAGCATTACAGCAATCCAGTCTTGAGGTGATCATTGCCTGGATCACTGTTGCCAGGTCATTGTGTTCAAGGAAGGGAACCAGTTGCTTGATGTTAAGTCGCTCGCTTAACAAAGTAGTCGGAGAGTGATTCAGCAAGAACACAGCTTTATTCTTCATCTCGAACACAACTCCAACACGGATCAACATCTGATAGCCAGAACAGCCTTTACATTGCAGCTGTCCTGCTTTTAAACATTCCCGGCTAATGTAGCCACACCCACTGTACAAATACCAACCAATAAGGTTGTTAACATAAGGACCAATCACAGACGTTCCCACTCAGGGAGCTTGCTGACAAGTGATTGGCTAGGTGCTTCCTGGGCTAGTAACACGATTGGATGGATTTGGATCCTAGCCCAGGACGAAGCTTTACATTGCACTTCAGTTAGATGTTTCACAACATATCATGCATTCGAGGCAGCTTTGAATACACTTCACTTGAGCAGCCAAAGATGGTAAAAGGCAGACTTCACCGTGACTGCTACCTGGGCCTCCATTGTTAAGGAGACATCCAGGAGCACTCCCAACCAAATGATTTCTCTAAGCCGTGGAGTCTTGTGAGCAACAATTCTACTTTGTGAGCTACCGGCATTAAAGTCGTGAGCGAGCCATCTGGTCACTGCATAACTTAGTTTGTTCTGGAGCCATCCCTTCCTGAG